AATTTTTTATTGATCATTTAACAGGAAATTAAGGTTAATTCAATTCAATCATACAATCATACAATTAAACATTTAAATAATCACATATCCAACATAAAAATTTTTACAACCTACTACAAAGTTATACAAAATTATATATGTTCTTTTTAAAAAGTAAATATTAAACATCAAAATAAGAACCTAGGAGTGTGAAAGGCCAATAACAATGGACAATTCGCGTTTAGAACGATAGAAATTTCACCTATGTAAAAATCAAAATTATAAAAAAATACTAGTTTTAGGAACAAATAAAGACACCAAAACGTAAAAATAAATCAAAAATTAACTTATAAAGGTGGAGAATCGAAATTACGAACCCAAAAAGAGGTTTAGCACAATTTTGATCAATAAGAATGGTTGCCAAACCTTAACGACGGCAATGAAAATGATAAAAACGGCCTTGCACAGTGCAAAAAGGCAAAGAAACGAGAGCTTTCAAGGTAGAGCAGCGGCGCTCTAGGCGAAGAAGATGAAATTGTTCACCCTCTGTTTTTTATTTTCTTAACCTGGAAAAGGTTATACCTCGGTTCTTAAGAAAACTTAGGCAATGAGGGATCTATGGCCTTGGTTTCTCACATAACCAAGGCCTAAAATTGCTTAAACAAATTAAAAGATAATTTGAAATGGAAATTTTGCAAATTTTTTAAACCTTTTTGCCTCGGTTTCCCACCAAACCAAGGCATAACAAGCATATTACCTTGGTTTAGTTAGTATCGGTTTCAAAAACCAAAATAAATTATATTTTAAATGTTTAAAATGGGTTAGAGCAAGGTCTATGGCCTCAGTTCTAGGGGAACCAAGGCCAAAAGTTCTGCACAACAATTATTTCCCTCTACAAACTATGACGTTACAACTCACAAACTTTTCGGAAGGAGGTCTATGGCCTCGGTTCTGCAGTGAATCAAGGGCATAGACCTTTTTCCAAAAGGTTTATCTGAAAACAACTGAGACCAAAAGCCCTGCACAGAGATTTTCTTCAGATGAAAATTTTTTGCTTGTCAGGTACGCAGACCCTATGGCCTCGGTTGTCTTTTGAACCGAGGCCATATATATACCCTCTATGGCTTCAGTTATTTTTGAACCAAGGCATATATTGTCACGAAAATTTCAAAAATGTCATCGTGCAATATTATCCTTTGATTTCTAGTAAACCAAGCATAATGAGCGCGTTAATATCCTGTTTTTTTCCTAATGTGAATTGCTTGGAGCAATTTCGACGCAGCCTTAAAGGGTCACAATGATGATGCCTTGAGACCTTTTGTACACATAAGAGCAATGCACAACAGTGGGTTCGTGTTATCTCATTAATGAATCATTATTTTGTACTATTCACTTAGCTTTTCACACCTTGTTTTAGTGAATTGTTTTTAACTCTCCATTATTGTCCCATTTTCATTATTTGGGCTTAATTTCACTAATAATTCTTATTTTAATTAATTTGAATTAGTTGGGCTTAATTATTCCAATTATTATTTGCAGGACAATTTTGGAATCATTATTGGGATGTCAAGAGGGTTGCCACATCAATTATTACTTTCCACATCAACATCACTTTTTAATTTCGATTTTAGGTTAGCTTTGGGCCCATTTTTGGGCACATTTAGGAGAAGCCCATATGAAGGGCAAAATTGTAAAAGAGGTTTTTAAAACCCGAAATCAAATTTCATTCTTTCTCCTTTTACCATATGCGTTTTTCCACCCCCCACCCCCCCGGTTTAGGTTCTTTCTTTCATTCTCCTTCATTGTAATGAATCTTGTTTTTAATTGAAATTTCATTTTCTTTTTGTGTTCTTCCTTTATTCTCGTTTTCAATTACATGCTCACACTTTCATTTTTCCCACTTTCCTTGCTACCCATTTACGTTTTCCAATTGCATTTACGTTTTCCAGTTGAATTTACATTTTCTAGTTGCGTTTAGTTTTGCATTTTCATTCCAGAATTGTGTTTTATTGTTCTGTTGTTACTAGGTTTCATGAATTCAATTATGTTTTGGTGTTTTAATGGTAGCTTAAGTGTGCTTGTTGGTCATTAGTAAAATTGCATCGTTTTCATGAGATTTCTGAATCGTAATTATGTTTTTGTTGCTCTAACTTGGCTGATATTAAATTTGTTTGTGCACTTGCAATTGAGTACACGCTTAGTTTCCTAATTGGTGTTTAATCTTTGCTTAATTGATGAAACTGTGTGGTGTAGAATTGATTGAATATGAGCATGGTGTTTGCTTAATTCACTTTTTTGAAAACATGGTTAGTCTTCGCTTAGTTGGTTAACTTAGTTGATCAACCGTTTTCAATTAGTATTTTAATTAGTGCTTTAGTTTGGTAGATTTTAATTCAAAAAATTGTTCATAAATCACTCCCATCACGTGTTCGACCTATTTGCTGAACCAAGGTTTGATCCTTGTCAGACGACTTAGGAGTTACTTCTAGTTTATATTGCATATTAATTTGATTGGGGTACGGCCTCAATCACTCATCAATTATCAATGGTGACACCTTTGTCAATGCTAACAATTTCAGGTCAAACATCAAAGGAAAACACAAATCAAGAATCCATAGATGATAACCATGACAAATTCAAAAACAAGATAAAGGTAAATGTAAACTTAAAGTAGAAAAATTAAATAAGGCCTAACTGTCAGTCATTGTCATTATCACGAGTATCCTTTAATGTGTTTCTCAGATTTAAACTCTCAATCTCGTAAACTTTAATGGTATAGTATAATGTATAAGAGAACATATTTGATGACCCAAATAAGATAATACATATGGAATTTATAGAGCTCTGCGGTCACAGAGCAATTATTATAATAAATTGTTATAAATTTAATGGAATTACTATATCAAAATTCATGCAACCTTAAAAATTGATAATAGTTATAAAAATATAATTAATTCAATGTAAATAACTTATATTATCCCACATAGTTATAAAATTGCCCACCAATAAACCTTTCACACAAACGACTATATCATATGCTTGAGGCCAGATGTTGTCCAGTAAATGGTTCACTATAGTAAGAAGACACAAGCCGTATACAATAAAGCCTCCATGAATAATGACTTAGATTACTTCTTATATTATAAATTTAGCAAAATCTAGTGATTGTTTGATAGTTATTTGAGGTCCTATCACTCCCCAAGAGAAAAGAACCTTCATAAACACCATCTTCAGTAACCATGTAGCCATAACGGACAATAACCTAAATTTTTATTCATTTTCAATTGAAACTAAATTACAACCCAAATTACAATTAAAAAATATTTATAAACCCTTAATATAAATTACACTAGTCTAACATTTACTAAAAGAAATAAAAGTCATAATTCAAATTGCCATTCTATAGTTTAATAAAAAAATTACACTAAACTGATGTAATTTGATATATATAAATATATATACCCATCACGATCAAAACTACGACATGTAACAAGAAAATAGCATCAAACTGATCATCTTGAGCGTTTAAACTACATGAGTTTCCCTTCACATAAAATCGCACATATATTCTAGTATATAATAAAGCTAGGGCATTATATATGAGTGGGCATATTTACAAATATTCATTTTCAGGAAAGTCCCACCTTCTTCCCCTTTACATAATGGTTCATTAACTTCTGATTCAATATCAACGTATGGGCCACATTTTGAAGGATATTAATGTATATACCGCCAAATACAACTTACATTTAAGGATTAGATGCTTGCTTAGGCATAAAGAGGAGAATGAAATTATATGCAATGGCGAGTTGCAGTTCAGATAAACTCTCACAAATTCACATTTGAAAAGGAATTCTAAAGGAGAAAGAGACATGAAAAAGCTCATAAATTCTTTCTTTTCTGTGGAATATGGAGTCAGCTGATGTTTAAGGGGAACATTTTGCTGTTTTGGTTTTAAATATTTCTTTCTGGAAAAGAGCACAATATGTATTTGACCCAGAGTTTTGAAAGACACCAATTAAATATTGTAATTCCGTTGGCATAATGAATGGGACTTTTAGTTAACACCTGAAGTTTATTTAAGGGAAGGTCGTAAATTAATGGCCATTAAGAATTAGTAGTAAACTAGTAACATGCTGTGTAAATGCACTTCGGCTACACCACAGAGAACTATTAGCCACATATTTCTTCTTCTTCTTCTTTTATCTACTAATTATTTTATATCTTCTACTTTTTTATTTGCATTGATTGATACTTCATACCCAAGTTGTGAAAAGTCAGATCCCTAACACATTCGAGCTTTGTTCTACTTAGCATAAAGGTGATAGGTGAGTATATAAGATTATCAAATGGAAATATCAACATTTGATCCCTAGTTGTAAAATGACCACACAGAAGCAGTTTTTTGTTTCTAAATAAAGCAACACTTTTTCAACAATCCAATGAAAACCACAATAATTTATAATTAAAATAAAGAATATAAGGCTTGAATTTTCCATACCTTATATGAGCCAGGTCCAAAATGATATTTGTTTTTTTACAATTTAGAACTGGAATATCTTGAGATGTAGTGTTATTAATGTAATCTCCCCAAAAATTGGAATGTTTTCTTTCTCTAAGAAAGAAATATTCTTTTGTCATGATATTAATTTGAAGACATATTTGTTTCTATGTTAAAACAGTCCAAATTTTAGTTGAACTCGACTGATGGAAACTATAAATTCCGAATTCAATTAGTTTAAACTTTTTCAAACGAAAAACAAACATGACAAAATTACATTAGCAAGACATTACTATAACATTATTTTCTTATAAGTTAAAAAATTTAAAAACATAAATAAAAGTGGGACCCTGTTGAGTTTATCATATTAAACAACATCGTACGAGGGAATCCACCGGGGAGAAGTGATTTAAAAATGAGGAATCTATTGATGGGACGGAAGCAAAAGCAGATGCTAAGGAGGAAAATATATATATATATAGCGATATGATCATGAATGCATTATTAAGCAAACAGAAAACAAGCATATATCTTGTATATCATGGCACGAGAGGATCCTCTTTCTATTGGTGGTGTGATAGGGGATGTTCTGAACCCTTTTACAAGCTCAGTTTCTCTCACAATTTCCATCAACAACAGAGCGATTAGCAATGGCTATGAACTGAGGCCCTCTCACGTTGTTAACCGCCCTAGAGTTACTGTAGGTGGTGAAGACCTAAGGACCTTCTACACTCTGGTCAGTTCTACTAATTAACTAACTAAACAGTACAATTCTTTAATTAATTATGTTATTAACAGCTACCGGCATCTTTTCTGCATAAAAATTTATTGTTGAATTAGGTTCTGGTAGATGCAGATGCACCTAGCCCTAGTAACCCCGTCTTGAGGGAATACCTCCACTGGTTAGTTCTCTAGCTTTTTTATCTAATTTCTGTCATTTTACAAGAACAGGTGAAAGGCAAAAAAAAAAAAAAAGAAAGAATAAAATTGGTGACATGTTGATGTTTTATGCTATATCCAATGAAGTCTATATACCATTAGAGTATGCTCAACTGATTTTATAAAGAAAAGACTGTGACTTATTTATAACATATATATATATATATATATATATATATATAT